GACATGTCAGTTTCTATGTATGCATATTTTTTATAGTGTGTGCCCCATTAAATTACCAGTAACATATGACATTTTACTTGGTTTTGCTTTTTTTAGGTTTAAGAGTTTTCTTTTTCTTTTGTAAATGTGCCAGTTGTAATTAACTACTCTACTATAGATTTCTACACATTTTAAAGGATAGGCCATTAAAAATCCCGTTTGATTTTTCACTGATCTGACCTTTATTTGCATAGAAACTGGAGTGGGAACTGGTAGCCAACAGTTGTGAAAGCTCTTAAATTTAAGATGCCGGTTGCCATTTCCCATCTCTGTTTCCATTTCCAAGAAAAAGGTTATATCGAATCAGTAAAAAAAAAAAAAAAAATCAAATAAGAACAAGTTATACATATCTCATCTTTATAAATCTTGCCTTTTCTTAACTTCTATGGAATGTGGTCCAATAGCTGTGATATGCCTGAAACAGATTTCAACTCCTAGCTGTCAATTATAATGTTTGGACTCCTATGTTGGTGCAGGAAGGCTCCTTCAATGACTGTAATTATAGTGCTGGAGCACGGCAATTACTGAACTCCAGCAGACTCCAGCATCAAGTGTATCCATGTCCCCACACTGAAAAATGGTGGTGAGGTGTTTAAACTAAAGCTTGTTCAACGAGCTTTAGTTCAAAGTGTCACACCGCCATTTTTCAGCATGGGGATGTTGATACATGTGACCCTCCGGGTGCTTTTAATTAGCATAGTTCTTAGTGCTGGGCTAATTAAAGTACCACTCCTCCCTGTCCCTCCCCCTCCCGCCCCACCTCCTGGAGCACATTTAAAATGCTCTTTGTTCCCACCTCAAAACCAGAAGAAGACAGAGCCTTTCGGTTCCCAAAACCTTTAAAACCTCATCATGTAATTAGAGTCACTCAAGACACGATGTAATTTTTTTTAAAAGGTGCTCTATGAAATAATAATAATTAAAAAAAATCAAATATTGTCTTTTATGGAAATATTTTCAATTTCTATTGTTTCCAAATCTGTGAAGAAATCTCAACTTGCTGGTCCCTTCCATCACAGAAATGGATTGTTCGGCATTAATACACAATACATAAAGTTGCAAATTAGCTTCTCAATCACACAGGTGCTCAGTTTCTAAGGAGATCTATTAAATTGTACCCACTACCCTGTACCCAACCTCAAATCCTCTAGTTTCTAGATCAACATTGTGGAGCTGCACCATGAAGTGATCAAATACAGTACCCACTCATCTGATCATGTATATTTTTCAACAACATGAATTAATTCTCAACAGCTGGGGCAGTTCTTGGCCTCCTGTCTCCAAATAATCTTCCCCAGCATCACCAGAAGCAGAACCAGTCTAATATCCCTCTTGCAGGGGCAAGAGATGCTAGGCACCTGAAAGGTGGCAGAAGAGGGTCTGTGGTTCACCTACCTCCATCCCTCACTTGCAGGGATACTGATTACCACCTCTTTGGGATCAAAGGAAAGAAAGGAGGAGGGAGGTGAACCATGGTTCCTAAATCCTTTCATGGTGTTATAAAGTCTTATACATCTTACATTACTGGGGGCGAGGGGGTGGTAATTGTATTGTTGATGGACAGTTGACAGTGCAGCAGTCTAGAGAAATTATGTAGGTCAGGACAGGTCAATTTGCCAGCCTTGAAATTGTTTGTTACACACCTCTAAAAGGGTTCAAATACAGGGGAAAGCAATCTGTTCTCACAAATAAAATGAGCAGATGAATAGGAGCTTCTAGCTATTTTAAAAACTCAGAGTATGACAAGCAAAGCCCTGAGAAAATTAAGTATGTCCATCTTTTCAAGTACAAAATGGTCCCCATCACTCTAATAGCTATGTTTCCATCACATATTGTCCTTGTATCACACCAGTTTTGCTTTTTAACTGAAACACATAATATGAACTGGTGTCATCACAACCCTGCATTTAGTACAGTGTACACTGTGTGGTACTTTCTTGCAGAATTACTATGGAGACTTTATCGATTAAATGGAAATCATTGCAGAGTTACTGCAAGATAACAAGGAAATTTTGAATATGCATCTCTGAAGGGCTAAAATTCAATGTTCCTTTATCTCATTAGAGCTGATTTAAGACAGACAGACAGATTAGTAGACAGATATCAACATTAATTTATATTAGTAGGCCATGAACAGGCACTAATTTCTACCAGAGAAAACTTCTGAGAAATTTCCACTGGTAGAAACGTTTCTAGGAGAGGCAGTGTACAGGTGTTCAGTGTGCAAGTTTCCCCCTCCCCCAACTCTCTGTGCTTCAGAGTCATCACTTTCTGGGGAAGGCATGGGGAAAAGTGCCTTCTCCATTTCTCTTGGTCCCAAGGACGAGTGAAGCTGAGGGAAAGATTTCCCACACCTTCTCCAGACTGGGAACTGGGTAACAGGTAGGGAGCAGCCCCCTCTACTTTGCTTCTCGTCTCCAGGAGTAAAGCAGACAGAATACAGGGCAAAGCCTCCAACATCTTTCTTATGACAGTGCCAGGAGAAAAGACAGGATGCAGTAGCAGCTGCTCCCCTCCCCTCTTGAAGACAGAGGAAGCAAAAAGACAGAGCCCCCAGCCCCTTTCCCAAACTGGGCAGGGAAGAGGCAGGAGGAGGGCAAATACAGCCTGTGGGCCAAATTTGGCCCACAAAGAGACTTTGTCCAGCCCCTGAGGGGTCCCTCAGTCCCGTAAGGCCCAGGTGGCCTCTGGCTCATGGCACATCCCACCACCCCAAGATGTGCAGTGGGCCTGGGGCAGCCCTGTGGCTGGACTCCATTTCTAGGCAGCCCAGGAAGTGGTGGATCCTTCCAGCTGTCACTGCCGCCGGCTCCACCTCATGGAGACTGGAGGGAACCTATGCACACAGCCCTGGCCCAGCACTCACCAGCTCCAGACTTTCTTCTCACTCATGCTGGGGCCCACCTATCTAGAGTTCACTCCAAGGCTGCCCTGTAGCTCCTCCAGCAGTGGCACCTCCAGGCTGCCCAGAGGGGCTGTGATGGCAGTGGAGAGGAGCTGCAGGGCAGCACAGGTGCAGGCTCTGGGTGGTCGTGGCTAGAAGGGCCCAAAAACAGTGAGGGGGATGTGGCCACTTTTCCCTCATGCTCACCAGCAGCTTTTGTCCACTTGCCACCACTGCTGCTCATTGTGGATGGGTCCAAAGTGGGTGCGAAGTGGTACAGGCTGGTGCTGGGGCTGTGCGTGTGGGTTGGGGCTGTGTGTGTGGGTCCTGGTTGGTCCAGAGCTGGTCTGCTCCAGCTGGGGTGAGTCTAGAGTGGGTACAGATTTGGATGGGGCTGCTACTGGGCACTGGTGGCAGGAAAGAGGCACAGGGACACAGACTCCAGGTTTGGTGAGCTGCTGGTAGAAGTATTGGTAGCTACTGTAACAAGCTGCTGACCAGCTTGTTACAGTACCCCAAAACTGCCTATGTGGTCTGCAGGCCAAAATAATTGCCCCCAGCTCTGAGTTAGAATACGGGCCTTGTTACACCTTATGCTGTGAGCTACACAAATGTTGACCCATGCTAGTGCTAGCTCAAGTTTGGAGCAGCCACACTACAGGCCAGCAGGGGCTTGGAGGGCTCAAAAGTAAGAATTGCCCCTCCCCTTCATTATGGGCTTCCACTTTGCCCCCCACCAGGGTTCCCCCCCCATTTCCCTTCTCCACCTCTGAGGCTCCCTCCCTGCACCTCAGTGTTTTCCATTGCTTCCTGCCTCCCCCCCACCCTTGGGCATTACTTACTTATGGGTGTCTGCGCTATCTATTGCAGAGGAGCAGGCAGGGAAGGGTTAACCTGCCTGTCTGGCCACCCTTGCTGCCAGGCTGCTGCTCTTCTGGCCCAGAATGCAGCAGGAGTGGTAATGGCTGGACAGGCAGGTTCTTTTCCCTACCTGCTCCCCTTGTGTAGACAGCACAGGCAGCCTCAAGTAAGTTGGGGGGGTGTTAATGATCAGAGATCTGGGGTGCTGGGAAGGTGAGGAGGGCAATAGGCCCAATCTGGGCCAGTGGGGGTGGGTGGGGTGTTCACACTAAGGTGTAACCTAGAGTGGCTGCACCTTACTGTAACACAAACTGGGTAGCAAGGATCAGAGATAATCCTGCCCAGGACTGGTATCACTTTGAGCCCTATAACAAGTGGTTAAAACCAGTGTCAGGTGTGAATGTGTGGATAATCCTGGGGTTAAGAGCTCCAGGAGCTGCCCCAAATCATAGTACAAGGCCCTATGCACCTGGTTCTTCTTAATGAAAACATACGATCAACTGCAAATGTAATAGGAAGTTATGCGTTCTCCTAATCATCCCCTTCTCATACTAAAGTAAAAACAGGTCACTTCTGCAACAAGTTTCTAAAATGAAATTCTATCCAAATGTTCAATATTCTAATCTTTCACAGGTTAAATTAAGAGTGTGAAACAAGCACATGTACACTGATTTATGGCCGACACAATGCAGACCTATTAGAATTAGAGAAGATAAAAGATTCATTTTGGAGGGTTCTGAGCTGCAGTGGTCTGATGTGTTTAATGCTGTGCTTTAATAATTTGGAACCTTGTCTCGAATACCCTAACTATAGTGAGATAGTTAGTCATAAATATCCTTGAGTTGTTTTATTTTTTCATTCATGTGCATGTAATACTGAATCAAAACACTAAAATTAAAAGTAAATAGTAGGTGTAGAATGCTACAAAGGAGTTGATTCAATTTTCACTTAGACTTAAATAAACCCAAGGTTCCTCTGTTAAAGTAGACTTAGATGCATGGTCAATAAACACCGCTTGGAATCAGGCACAATGCAAATCAAGTTGGGTTCCAAAATCTGACACACACAAATTTACCAAACACTTCTGAAAATTTGACTGTATATGGTCAATCAGTGCTTACTAGTCTACAGTTTAACTTCTCTAGATTTGGACTTTGAAAGTACTTTGACAAGCTAATACAAATTGACAAACACATATATGAGCACTTTTTCCTACATTGACTTTTTCTTGGAGTTCTGACAGGTTGCCTTCTTTTCGATATATTGCAAACTCAGGACTTTGAAGTACAACTTCTGAGCGAGTCATCCAACTGTGGAGTTCTGTTGTATCTGCATCAAACCTAAGACCCCGAGAAATAAAAGAAAATCTTTCCTTTACACGTTGTAGTTCTAAAAGTAACATTCATAGTAAAGATGTTATACCAGATGTTTAAACCAGAAGTATGAATTAAATATGAAAAAGTGGTGATTATTCTCAGAAACAGAAGGCTCTAAATAGTTTGCCTTTAGTAGATGCTGCATAAAGCTGTCAACTGTAAAACTTAGGAGACCTTTTGAAAAACTACAAATGCTCTCTAGTTTGTAACACACTGATCTGTCTAGTGAACAGATGCAACTCCATTTTCAGAATCAGGGTTTTAGTTTTATGAGATGATGCTTTGTAAGATATGCAAACAGTGACTTTTAAAGCCAAGACAAGCTCAGCATTATATCTATTCACTCAATTAAGGAAGAAGGCTCCTATCTCGTTCACAAAGCTCCAACTGCCATACCTGTTCATGCAGGATGCCCACACAGCCAACTCAGTTAAGAGTTTTTTCCCAATAGATTTCAGTTTGCATTAGAGAGTAGTTACAAGTCACACACACATGTACGTATGTATGTATGTATGTATGTATGTACGTACAGCTGGTACATATCTATAGTATAGTGAAAAGTTGGGAAATTAAAACTTACAAACCCAATGCATTTTCTCTCTAGCTCCCCTAACCATGTACACTTTTTTTTTTTTCATTAATCCTTTTCATTTTACTCTTATTTCTAAAACGGATTTGATTTCTGCATCAACCCTTGTAACTCCTTCATTTTTCATTCTTATTCAGAAAGAAAAAGATCAAAATGAGGAACATTTATGGCTATTTTCATTATGAGCTAAAATCTAAATTGCTGTGAAGTGCGGAGAATTCATCAGTTCACCTGGTGATTCAATCTCTAGCCCCATGATTAGAGATTTGACTCTCCTTCAAGTCCTGTTACCAGCACAGGTGGAGAAAGAGAGAGGCAGGGTAAGTGAGAGAATATAAAAAAAGTTTATGTATCCTCCAAAGCAATGGATTCAAAGCAATTATTGCTGTGGATTATGTTAAACACCAATCCTAGCAGTATTTCACAAAGCACTACACACCTTATTATGCTTATTTTACAACTTCTTTACTATTGGAAGAAAAATGATTAGTGTAATAACAGAAACAATTTTTTACTAGGTCTTGTAAATACTGATTGCCTTTTATATACTAGTAAAAGCATAGTTCCCACTTTTCAGACTGGTGTAAAGACAAGATACCAGTTCTAAACATTTAAAAAGCTTTTTGCA